ACCCTAAGAAGGAAAAAAGCCACAAAACACCCTGAGCAGGACAGTTAGAGTCAGCTGAGCAACGTCATAAAAGCAAATCAAATGTGAAGGCATTTAGACAGGGGATGGTTTACAGCGACAACAAACATTATGCCATTAGCTATTCAATGGTCCATTCTCACCTTTGGTTTGTCACCTCTGCCTCAAGGGGGGCGGGGGGGGGAGGGGAAAAAAAAAAAAAAAGGCAAGCAAAAGCAAAAGCAGCAGTTGAAATAGAGAAGATCAGAAAAATGATAACGCAAATGATTACAAATAAATCAGAAAGGCCTTCCTTATGAGTGGAGAGAGTCGGGTCTAGTGAGGAAGTATGATGGATGCGTGTAAAACAGAGAGGTGTCTGGTGATCAGCTAGTTGTTTTTATTCACCTTTTCTCGCAAGACAGGGAAAAACTCAAAATGCTAAAAGCCAGCTCCTCAAAAAGGGTCCTACAGATGGTGTTCGACTCGATAAAAAATGACTGGTGGAATTCACTTCTCTGGGAGAGTGAGGTAGAGGGCTTATCGCAGAGACAGACCGAACACCTAGGCATGAGAAAAAGCATCTCGAGTCACACGAGGCGAATTAAATTACCGAAGACCAAACTTTCTGCTTCCAAGTATAAATTGCTCAGAAATTGATACTGATGGGGTTGAGGCTGAAACCACTGCCCGTATTCAATGGGCTCTACGGCCGTTTGCACCCTTCCTTTGAAAGTACCCAATATTAGCCACCAGTAACCAAATTAAATTTCCTGCCATGGCAATTCCCGCATTTCAGAAACACCTGCAGTAAGGACTGTCCAACTCGTCGAACTGCCGGAGCAGGACTCGCGCTGTGCGGTGGGTGTATTTGGGGGCGGGGGGGAAATGCAAGTGATTTGTTTGTTGTTTTTCCCCAGGCTTCATGCTCTGCTTATATACATAAAAGACAATAAACATTCAGGACATTTCCAATGGTTATGAAGGTACCGTACCTGTGATGGTGGTAGGGATGGTGGTGGTAGTGGTGGTGGTTGTTGTGGGAGGAGGGATAGTTGTGGGGGGATCTGGATAAAATATAAAAAGGAAAATAATAAAAAAGCAAATTAAGAAAAAACAAGCAGAACACAACAGCGATCAATCGTGATCAGAGAAAAACAAGGACGCTAAGAAGCAGCACGGCTGTCGGGTGTCTTTCCTCCTCTAAAACCAGGTGGTGACCGCCCAGCTGGCTTTAAGGACAGCGGCCCAGACCCTCCGGAGCCT